AATTATTTTTTAAAAAATTATCGAAGTTTCATTATCTTTGGTCATTGTCTTTGGTCCCTTGAAGAAAAGTCAGGAATGACTATAAGCAAAGATTTATATGATAGGCAACTTCATGATTACTTTCTAAAATAAATAAATACAAAAAATATATCGAATTAGAGTGAATATCAATTATTTTTTAAAAAATTATTAAAGTTTAATTATCTTTGATCATTGTCTTTGGTCCCTTAAAGAAAAGTCAGGAATGACTATAAGCAAAGATTTATATGATAGGCAACTTCATGATTACTTTCTAAGAAGAAAAATTAAACCCCTCACTAATTACACTGTGGCCACTTCATTTGTGGACATAAAGTCTTTGATTCCAAACAAAGACTGAATCAACTCTAAAAGTCCTAATCAAGCTTAATTTCTACAATGGAAAGAAATTTCATCTGAAATTTCAGTTAATGAGTCCAGTTTGAACAGGCGTCTTTGAAGGGAAGACAATTAGTAAACGAAAGAACTAAGCAGGCTCAGATTGTTTTGCAATTTTTCCCTCCATCTTTGGTTTTTGAGTAATTTCCCAAACACAAAAATGAAGTGGAATCTCTAATTAAAATTATTTTAATCAAATAATTTCAAGTTCAAGATTAAAATACGTTATCGAGTCATCAACGTGTTAATTAATCGAACTAGTTGTTCTAGAAAAATTAAGAATAGCGATCAAAAGTTTGAAATCATGAGAAAATACAATGACAAGGGTAAAAGCAATTCGAAAAAAAAAAGAGAGACAGAGAAAAACACTAAGATTAAAAGGCAATAAATATATCAATGAGTGTTTTTAGAATTGTATTAATATTTTCAGTATTAAAAACGATCATGACTGTTATCAAATTTAAAATAACTAAAGGTAATGACTTGTCGACACCGTTTGGGTCTCTTACGGTTTGTTTGGATAAAAATTAATAAAAAGAAGGAAAAAATTAATATTAATTTTGTTTGGATAGACAGCGGTAGAAAAATGAAAAAATAATTTTTTTATTTAATTACATAATTTAAAGAAAAAAAAAATAAGATATTTAAAATTTACAAATTCAAAAATAATTGAAATAAAATGTTTAAATATTTATTTTTTAAAAAATTAAACAAATATTAAATATGTAAATTCAAATCTCTTTCAATCTTTCTAATTTAAGAGATAAAAAACCAAAGAGTGGAAGGTACCCTACCACTCCTTCCATCTCCATTAATAAAAAAAAAAAAAAATGAAACACCAAGAAAGATATCTATGCCTTGCTCTCCCCCCTTTCCTCTCCAAATTCACCGATTCAAACGGTGGCTTAAAGCAAGTCATGAGTCATGAGCGATTGTATGCGAAGACCAATGCGATACATAAATGGCCACCAATAGGCAACTTCATGGTTACTTATTAAGAAAAAAATTGTCATTACAATAACAAAGAATTAAAGACCTTGCTTTGTGCCATCTTCTTTCGTTGATACTTCCAAAGCAAGACCTGAGTCAACTCTAAAAGTTAAACTGCAATCAAAAGAAAAGAAATTTCATCTGACATTACTTCTCCGATTCCACTAAATGGTACCCTTGGAAAAGATTAGTAATTGTGTGCAACGCATGGATAGTGACCAGGGGGAGACGACCGACCTTGACTGTACAACGCGCATGGATGGTGGGAGACGACCGATTATTTTTTTCCAGCAAAAGAAAGATGCTGTGCTGTGAACATACGTCTCTCTACAAAACTTGTAAGCATTAACCAATTTTTTTTTTTTTAAATGAAGTTTTTCTCTTCAAAATATTTAAAATTTAAAAGATAAAGTTTTAAAATTTTACTTATAATATAAGCTAGTAAGCAACCCTAAAAAATTCCACTGCCAAAATAAGATTAAAAAAAAGAAAAACTGTTGCCAAACAACCTACAACTATTTGTCAATCAAAAAATTGCTGTCACATATTGAAGTCTTCGTGGTTTAAGTTTACTCGGAAACTTCGTGGCTGCATCCTCTTAATACAGAAGGCCCAAAAAAAAAAAAAACTGTTGCCAAACAACCTACAACTATTTGTCAATCAAAAAAATTGCGGTCACATATTCAAGTCTTCGTGGTTTAAGTTTACTCGGAAAC